GGCCCATCTCCATCCCTCCGTGCCGCCGGCTCAGGCGGGAGGGGGGGCCCTGACCGGGCCCCCGCCTGCCCCTGGCCCGCACGTGCCCGGCCGGGCCACGCCGCCGGCACCCCCAGCCTCCGGGCAGGAGCTGCTGTTCGTGGCAAAGGAAGGAAGCCTGGCCGAAGAGTTTCAAACAGCGACAACAAGAGTTTTAAACACACAGTGTCCTGCCGTACAGGACCGGAGGAAGTGGTTCAAGTTCATAAAGTACCCTGACCCCCACAGCCAGCTGAGGTGCAGCCCAGCAGCCGACAGTAAGGGGCTCCAACACACCAGGACTGGAGCCACTCTTTAAACACCTACAGACTTCCCTGCCCTGGAAGGCAATCTGGGCAAGGTGCTTGGACCCAGCAGAAGATTAACAAGCAGGAAAGAAGGTGGTTTCTAAGACATGAACAAACAGGGAGAGCCGTACAGCCAGGTGCACCGTGCTTGACTGCCACCCAAATGCATAGGAAAAAGCCACTTTTCTCTCCCTCTTTGCACAGTGACAGCTGCTGTGTCCCAGCTTAAGCTGACTGACAACACAAGCATCACAGTTGAAAAGCAGATCCCTTGGGGATTTTCCCTAATTGAACCTTGTTCATAAATTTCAGGGGCAGGCCAGAAGTGCTGCCATCCTGCATGACAATCTGGAGCTGGGATGCAGTCGTGCCACAATGCCTGGGGCTCCTCGGGCTAGAAAAAGAGAGACGATTCAGGGCAGGGGGAGAAGCCCAACATTTGGCCGGAGAACTCCGAGTGAAGGAGTTTAGCTCTCCGCTGGAAGTGCTCCTGTTCTTTAGGAAGTGCGTTTCCAAACGATGTATAGGCTTGGGCTCTGACAGGCCAGAAAGGAAAGGATTTCCAAAGCTGAAGAGAAACGACCCAAAACAACCACACACCTATTTTTGCCAAACTAATAAACTTGGCATCCAGATAAAGCTTGCAGGAAGTTGTCTCGAGCTGATTTTAGGGATTACAACAGACCACAAGGAAGGAGGCAGTCCTTTAGCTATGCAGGGCCCAGGCAACTGAAGATTTTCAAGGTCAAAAACATCAGCTCAGACAGCACCCAGACAGGTACTGGAAGCCAGTGCAGGCTCTAGCGCATGGACTAACATGCTCTGGTTGACTCCAGTCCTGTCAGTGCACAGGCACCAGCTGCAGCTTCCAGATAGTCCAAGGGCAGCCCCGCGTGCAGCACACTGCAACACACTCTAAGTTACAAAGGCAAGGATGACAGTGGCCAGATTTGATTCTGAAAAAAAAAGTCACAGCCTTTGCACCAGATGGAGCTGGTGAAAGGTGCTCCTGGCCACTGCCACAACCTAAGAATCCACGTGCAGCAAAGGATCCAGGAGCACCTCAGTGCTTCAAAGCCAAGTGACAAGGAGAGGCCAAACCCTATCAGTGATAGGGGTCCCTATCCCCCAGATCTGCCAACTACCATCACTTCTGTTTTGTCTGGATTCAGCTTGGATTAGCTTTCTGCACTGGATCCACAACTGTAGCCAGGCACTGGGTAAGGACTGGGACTGCTGGGCCTTGTGCAATGGATAGACCTGGGTGTCATCGGCATACCGATGGTACCTCACTACACAGCTCCATGTGCTCTCACTCAGGGAGACCAGAACAGCAACGTCCCCCACCAGCTTAGGAATTCAGCTGATCAGGGATCCAGACAGCTTCTGTCTAACAAAAGGACACTAGCCACAACACAGTTCAGACTTTTAGATCATGGCACGGGGTGTACCCAGGAATGAAAGTACTCCCTGGCACAGTTCTGCATTGGAATAACAGTTACTTTAAGGTATCAGTAAACAGCAGTTGGGAAAACAGAAGATTCTATAAGCCATGCAATTAGTCCAATAAAAGATTTCACCCTCAAAAATATCCTTGCCTCTCATGTTTGCTCTACCATCACACCTACATCACTCTCACAGTACCAAATTGTTACAGCTCACATTTTGTCCTAGGTCAGACCCAGTAATTTGATTCTAAATTCTCTTATTCTACATGGAACTGTTATACAGTCAAATTTAATTTAGCAAACAGGACCCTTTTAATCTAAAACACCAGAACCCTTTTCTTGTAGCTCTGGCCTTGTGTCTGAAATGTTCTCACCCAGTCTGAGGTGCTATCAGTCACACAGGTAACACAAACAGTTTCTAATATCAAATTATATCTAATCTGTATTTTAAAGTGCTGAGGTCTAGGACTCGTGGTGTGATCTCAGAAAAAAGTTACCTGATCTTTGACTGTCATTCTTCCACCCAGCAATAAGCATTGCTAAAAACATTTGATTCTTGCAAGGGAGAAAAAGAAAAACAGCAAATAAAAAACAAACGTACCACAGTGTAAATTAAATACAGAGAGAGAATCCGGGGAGCAAATTTAGAAATGAAAGAAAATGTATCAATGACCTGCTCTTGTATTCCTCAGTCTTCTGCAGCATCACCATTCTTCCATTAGACTACAGGTCTCCAGGCACTTCTCAGTAGCCAGTCAAGCTTACCCTTCAGGACCTTTACCTCCAAAGACCTGCTCCAGTTCCACCTACATAATCCGGTGATTTTCTGTTCACAAATGAGCAGAAGTAGAACTGAATTTCGTAGAGCCCACTTCCCACTACTACTTCTTCACTGAGCCCATTGTGGAGGCAGAAGGCACAAACTTTTAGCTTGCCAATTCTCATGGCCTCGTCCCTTATATATGCCTGGGATCTGGTGTTTGAAACCCCTGTCTATATCTATAATGACAACAGGTTTCTGCACTCAAATTCAAAACATGAATGATAACAAATCTGT